CCCCAAAACCCCAAAACCCCAAAACCCCAAAACCCCAATATTAATGTCCCTAATAGAATACTTTTAAATAAACATGGAAAGTTTGGTAGGACTATTGACTGAAGCTGCTGATCAGATGAATGGTAAAGATACATCTGATTATGGAGATCTCATGGGGATTGACTCTAAATTCGTACTCAATCACGCTGATGAATCTGGAATTGGAATCAAAGGACAGTTATTGTTAGCAGGACCAACTTTGCAACATATCAGAGACCAGGGATCCCAACTTTGGGAAGACAAAGATGATGATGATTTGTTCTTTGTTATTTCTATTAGAACTAAGGGAGACCCACAGACCACAATTGATGGAATCAGACAGATCATCCAAGACTTCGGAATTCCTATTGAAGAGATGGCATCTCAATTTGGAGATCTCAAGTTCCATGCTGGTGATGGAGAAGCTTTGATTGGATTCAAAGCTCAAGATTCTCCATACACAGAGATGCTGAACAACGTTCTCCTCCACTCTAAAGTATTCGGAGATGGTAGCCAGGACATCACAACTGAGTTCTCAATCAATCTCGGATCTACCTTCTCAGATATGCTCGATGAAGAACCTCTATTCAAGCATTTGGCCAAATCTTTGTCAATTGAACTAAAAGGAAACCTACATGAAGCCACAAGACAAAATATCTTAGAAGTCTTGGAAGGAAAGAAAGAAGACCTCGGTCCTCTCCTCAGTGCTGCTCATGCCTTGTTCTTAGTGAAGAACGTTAGAAGCAACATCGAAGTTGACACTACAGAAGAGATGCTTGAGACACTTGCTGAATCAACCAAGGAAGGATTCCCCATGGCTGCATTTTCTCTCAAACAGATCTTTGCCCTTGTCAAACAAGCTGGACTACCTATTGATATGTTCAAACCAATCCTAGAATTGATAAACTCTAACTCGGCAGGAGAGGTAAACATTAGTGCTTACGCCCAAGCTGGAATCAAGTTCACAATCAGAGCTCCAGGAGTTGACGAAGCAGTTGGTGCATTCTTGGAGGACTAGCCATATTATCTTATTTTGATAAAAAGATAGATCTCAGCTCCTAATCGTTAGAAAGGGGTTTTGGGGTTTTGGGGTTTTGGGGTTTTGGGGTTTTGGGG